CTCCTGCTGCTCAGAAAGCTTTGCCCAGCTGTGCACCTCATTACGCCCTTGTGGCTAGGCTATTTTAAGGAAAATTATTCCAAAGGAATAACAAAATCAGCAAGGTCTAACTATTGTACCAGTGTGATTGGGGAAGTAAAGGTTAAGTGCTAGCACAGGTATAGCTCAGCACTCTGAAGATAACTGGCTTGCCATTTCTTTAAAGGCCACCATTGTCCTAGATCCAGGTAGGGCACTTAGGTTTTGTGTCATTCCATTTGCACATGGAGCCACCGCCATTTCACTGAGAAAGCCAATTGAGATCTGAAGGGGAAAGAAGGGCTTTCAGGCATGATTTGAAGAAAGAAATAATACACTGAAATGTCCCTGGGAAAGCAGGGAAACTGTTCCAGAGAGCAGGACTAGACAAAGTGTGACATCTGAAAGCTTCTTTTGGTCTTACCCTGCTAATTCTGATTATGACAGCTTTTAAATTTTTATTTCCTCTTCAGTCTTCACGTTTAGCATTTAGTAATTGTGGAAATGGTGTTGAGTGGAAGAGGCAGAGATCATAGAAGCAGTAAAGTGCAAAATCAAGAAAATAGGAAGAGCTAAGTAGATTAAGTAGACTGGCACAGATGAACCCCTCCTCCCAGCCCGCTGGCTCTGAAGATCTGAAGGTACTCAACATCTCAGCAGTGATTCCTGCCTGGGCACTGAGTGTACACACCCATATTACCAGACAATACATTTAACTGACACAGGCTCTATCTTGGGCTGGCCAAGCAATGCACAACCATATTCTTGCTTCTGCTAAAGTAAGTTCTGCCCTGGCAAGCTGCCAGGGTGAAGGGCAGGCTTGCCTGCAGCTCAGTTTATGGCCTTCCTGCCATGCCTCCCATCTCATATGATGCTCTGTGTTTTGTGATTTTATAGTCCTTTATTGATAAGTACAGAATGAAACAGATTGGCCATCTGTTTGTCAATCCACTGGATGAAATTTGAGAACTCCTGAAAACTAGGTCTTCTGAGTAATCAGAAGCAGCCAGCATGTGTTCCTGCCATCACTTGAAAAACTTTGCTGAGCTGCAGTGTGATAACACAGGCTGCTTGCAATGCACACCATCATGGCTGCTGCTCTTGTTTCAGAATACAAAAAGGTACTTGCTAAGAATGAGGCCATCCCCCAAATTTTTAGAAATGGAACTGCACATTGGGTGGCTGACATATTATCAGAAATGAAACAAAAGAACTGGTGAGCACATTGTGGAGTTCTGGATGTAAGTAGAAACTGCTGTTTATCTAAAACAGTAATTCATTCCTTTTCTCACCACAAAGACAAGGTAAGCAGTGATTTATTTCCATTCAGGAAGTTCAGGAGCTGGGAGAATTCCAGCCAGAATAGGCTGGCTTGCGAGGCCTTTAAAAGTCATTGTGTTTTTAATAGAGGCTGCTGTGCCAGGTGATTGAAGACAAGCATAATAGCAAAGTATCTTCAGAAAAAGTGGTAACACAGGTCTGGATAATTGTTTATAATGGAGTCATATAATGGCAAAGAAAGTTGGTTAGCAGGAATTTAAAAAAGAAATTAATGGAATTACAAATTAACCTAGTAGGGACAGGGTTTTGCAATGCTATTTGTATTGGAAAAACATGCTTTTTTTTCTTTTCTTCAATTTCTTTGGGATTGTCTGATAATTTGATTAGACTTTCTGAAAGCTTTGGCAGTTTGTCCTGGTGATGGGGCAGACTGAGCTGCAGCAGTCTGGTAGCACAGGATCACAGCCCTGGGGCTTCTCCTTCCCTCTCCTCTCTGGGATAGCAGAGCCCCCCACCCCACAGCTGGCTCTACATGGAACAGGCTCTCCACAGCCAGCTGTGGGCATGTGCAGAGCAGGCTCTTGCCAACATCTGCTTGCAGGACAACAACTCAGCTGCCAACACATCGCCCAGTTGTGCCTGGGAGGTCATCCTCACTGCCACTATGGTGGATGCGTGGCACTAATGGCCCTGGGGGTGGCGGTGGCAGATGGGGGCTGACAAGTCTGACTGCAGCCCCAGCCCCATTGTCCTGCCCATGTGTCCTGGGTGAACACCACGGGCTGAGCTGTTCAGCACTTAGAAACACTCTTTCTGTAAAACAAGTGGCCAGTAGCCAAGTGACTCATGTGCATCCTCCTCCTTATTTAAACTGGAGTCTTCCCCTTCATGCTTTGCCCGTTCCATGGAGCCAAATTGGTGTTTCTGGAGGGGAAAGCCAATTCCCTGCCTGTGCCTCTTCTATGTAGCCATCCACACTTCTTCCCGAGTAATTGCTACCTCATCTACTTCTTAATCATAGAATCATAGGATACTTTGGGTTGGAAGGCATCTTTAAAGGTTATCTTGTGTAATCCACATTATCAAAATTCCTCTTCATCTTAAAGTTGCTTGGAACAGAATTTTGTCAGCCCACTCAAAGCCAGGACTGAAATATTTCCCAGTATGGAATTTTCTCACTGTTTTCTGAGGAGCCACTGGTGCACTCTATTTTTGACACCATCTCTTCCTTATGTTCACCTTCTGCTGGTGTTTCTTTTGCAGCTGGCTCCCTTGGACTGAACCTGCTGGACAATGTCATACAGATATGTATGAGATGCACAGTATGGCTGTTTGAGTGAAAGAAGGAAAGTACTGGAAATCATCTCAGAATAAATAGTTAGCTTTCCACCTGGCCAAAACTGTAACTCTGTTGGAGGGCTGATATTTTCTAAAAACTTTTAATGATATAAGAATGAGGATAACAATAAGGCTGAAAAATATGACATATTTGGCTACTCAAGGTTATGGAATTTGAAAAATTGAAAGTAAAATGCAGTTGTAAATCCAAACAGGATTGGTTTATCCTGTGAGGCATGTGGCTGCATTGCTATTGCTTGTTAATGTAATCACTAACTCAGTTCTCTGAGCCACAAATCAAAATAACAATATTAGTTTATTTAATTGTAAAGGGCCAATGTCAAAACTGTGCAAGTGGAAAAGAGCCATTTCCCCCCCACAGCCTCTGTTTTCTTGCATCTTTTTTATCACATGGAGTAACTTGGGAGTTGGCTGCCTTGTACTTTTGCCTATAGATAGCAGGATAACAGAACAGCTGGGATTTTTATTTGCCCCAAACTGAGCTCTTTTAAATTTATAATTTCCCTCCTCTCTTTTCTGTCCCACCTCAGCATGTCTTAGGTGGTCAGAGCCAGAAACAGCAAGGTAGAAAGAGCTGCCCAAAAGTACTCAAACTTGAGCCTGGGGAAGACCAAACCTGAAACAGTGGGAGAGGTCTCTACTAGAAAAGCTTGAAAGAGAGGGTGTAGAGAGGTTTAAATTAAAACTCATTTGCGTTGCCTTTAAATACATACCAAAACAAGTGAAAAAAAAATCCAAACCAAAACAAAAACCAAACAACTCAGCATATGTTCTGTAGGAGGCGAGTCCTTCACATTCGTGTTTGCCCTGTGGGAAAGGGAATCTTAATTGGATCCGGATCTGCCCAGTTCCAGGTGTCTTCTCTCTCAGGTCCCCAGAGCCATTTGTTTGTTTTGCTGGTGTGCCTCAGCTTGGCAAAGTATCTTGATTGCTAAGTGAATGTGGATTCAGCCAGCTCTGACCAGCTCTGGCATCTGAAAAAATCCTTTTTTCTTCCGCTTGGATTTCTCTGCCAGCTGCCTTCGAGTCAGGATTTCCCAGCCAGCGGCTCTTGTTATTATCTGTTTTCACTTGCCTTGATGTTTACCAGATTGGACGGCTTTTATCTCTATTAACCCTCCCTCTCTGTGGAGCCCCAGTATTACACACCCTGTGTGCCTTGGCCACTGGGTCAGAGCAGAAATAAGTAAATAGATAATAAAATCACCTTCTTGAGAAAACAGTGAGGTCTAAAATATTGGCCAAAAATAACACAAGTGATGATGATCTCAGGGAAGAAAATATCTAAAAGGCCAAATGAAGGTATTAAAAATCAAAGCTTAAAATAATTGACTCATTAGCTCATTAGACTAAATCTGAGCTCTGCTAAAATTCCCCACCAGATGAAAACTGGTATGAAAATAGTGCTGAACAGCTGAGAGCAGGACAAGCTGGCCTGATTTTTCCTGGTCTCAGAGTGAATTGTTGCTAAGAAGTGCTTTCATTTGTAACCTTAGATACGTCATACAGTCATTTAGACCAGAAGGTCTGATTAAAAATGCATCTAAAAATGTAACGGGGAAATTCTCAATCTTTAATAGCCATAAAGCTATTCTGAACGAGCACCAAAAATCACTTCCCATCTCCTCCAGTTCTTGAAAACACGGGGAGGAAATAAAATATGGAAAAGATAAGCTCTTTTTTTTGTTTTTATTTTTAATTCCATTCTTCATCAAGACCAATATACTTTCAAAGGCAAGAGATTACATCTAGTTAAAAAGACCCGCATGTCTGGTCACGTGTCAGTTCAGTGTTTAAGAAATATTTAAGGATTTAGGTGACTTTTCAGTTAAAGGAGGAAAAAAATGTTCTAGCGGATTTTGGGTGAGGATCGGGATCAGTTCGGCTTCTTCCTCGGTGTCCTGTGTTCAGCCTCTGGAGCCGCCGTGGAGGAATCCGTCCGTGCGATCCCAGCGGTGCCGCCCCCGCCCCAGCTAAAGCTGCCTTCGACTTTTTGGTTCCCTCAACGGCTTAAGACAGACAAATGAAATAACTTCCCTCCTTCCCCATGATAATATTTTAATAATGAAGCCACGCAATGTGAACTTGTCGCTGCTTTATTTGGCTCACGCACTATGTTCCATTTACCTACGCACGGCGAACATTTCCAGCGCCCCCACTCAGCCCCGGTGGTCCCGGCCCGCGGCACCTGAGCGCGGCGGCTGCGCGGGGGGCGAGCGGGCGGGGCCGGCCCGGCCCGGCCCTCACATGCGCGGCGCCGCGGGAGCCATTGGCCGCCGCCCCGCCGGCCCCGCCGCCGCCGGCAGCCGGTGCTGTCCGCACGCCGAGCCATGCGGGTGCGCGCTGCAGGACGCTGCTAGGAGCCGAGCCCGCCCCGCCTCGCCTCTGCCCGCCCGCATGGCAGCTCCGTGGGACTGACCGCCGCCGACAAGCTCTGCGCCCCCGCCGCACGCACGGCTCGGCTCGGCTCGGCCGGGCGGCTCTCGGGGTCCGCAGCCCGCAGAGCCGTCCCTGAGGTGAGGCATGCGCGGGGCCGGCGAGAGGCGGTCGGGCAGGCGGCGGAGGGGCCGCGGGGAGGGGGCGGCATCCTCACCGGCACCCCCGCCGCTCCCTCCCCGCGCCTTCCCTCGCGCTCCTCTTTATCTTTTTCTGCGCGCAGACCGGCCTGGGCCGGTTCGCCGGTGCTGCTGCCAGCCCGGTGTGCCTCGGCGGGACCCCGGGGCCGGCTGCGCTCGTCGCGCTGCTCTCCCGCGGGATGCGCATCCACGCAGGATGGGCCCGCATCAGCGGGGGGCCAGCGGCGAGAGCGGGGCTGGGAGTGCGGCGTGGTGCTGGGGAATGCGGCTGGAACTGCGTGCCCCTTTCGAGGCCAGTGGGGTTGCATCCGGCCCCTCTGGGGGCCGCCAGCTGTGCGGGTTTTGGATGGGGTCAGCTGTGCATCGTGTTCCAGCGCACGCAGATTAAAGGGGCCCAAGCCAGTCAGTAAAGCACATCTTCAGGGCAGAACCAGCCCTTGTCAGATAACCATCTCTGTTTTTTCGAGGCGCGTCTCCTCCCTTCCCCGGCTCCCCAGTACGTGGCAATACCGACTACTGCTCCTTTAGGATCCCTGAGCTTGGCACAGCAGCTCCTGTATTGCAACCTGCATTCCCCTCCCCGTCACAAGTGCTGCCACTGCTCCTAAACAAATACGAATTCAGGCGCAGAAGGCTTGTGACTTGCCCAGCATCCTTTAGGGGAGCTGGTCGGCCGTCACTGGGGGGATTCAGGCTCTGCGTTTCCAGCACGCCTGCAGCTCGTGGCACTTTCTCCTCTGCATGTTCCCAGTGTGTAGGAGCCATGAGATCGGTTACTCAGACTTGAAAATGGAGGACGGTAGTGGTGGTGGTGTTGTTTGGTGGATAAGTCTTAGCAGTACTTCCTGTAATGGTGGTGCTGAAAGTGATGTTTTAGTTGACTTAGCTGCTGGTGCAGAGAGCTCTTTGGGGTACCTGCTGCTCGTAAGCTTTGCCACTTACAGCTTTAAAACAATCCCCTAACACTACAGGGAAGTATCTGGTGTTTTTTCAGCATTATGTCTCTCACCGTGATAGGAAAGGATAGTGTTTTCTGCCTGTAGAACTGAAGGTGGGGAGTGACAATGCCCGCTTGTTTGGGAGAGACGGCTTTAGGATTGGAGAAATTTGCTTGAACAGGGCTGAGATTTTAAACCCACAGCTCTGTGCTATCAAAAAAGCACTCTCATGCCAGATGGGGTAGCTAAGTCCCTTTCTCTGTTTTGTTTTTTTTCCTTTATTTCTGTCTTGTTTCTTGTTTTTTGTGGTGGTGTTTTGTTTTGTTTTTTTCCCTTCACCTCTTCCTGGAGACAAAGGAAACCATCTTTCTTCAAACTTAGGGTAAGGTTAGTGTTGTGTTATTTGCTCTTGATTGCCATCTTTAAATTAATTCACCAAGCCTTACTTGGAGCCAGGATCCTATTCATTCTTTGTGCGTTACAAATGTCCTGTAAACCTTTTATTGTTAGTTGAAACTGATTTATAAGGTCCTGACCTAGAAATATGCTTCTGTGGCTATTCTAGGCAGGCATTGCCTTTATAGTAAACTCACTTGGTGCTTTGCCTGTACCTTGCTTAGTGTCAGAAATGCTTGTCTGTTTGCTCTGTCTGTTTCCTTGCACATAATAGCAGGGGATACTAAATAGATTCTGTTTTTTGTAATTGTGATGACTTCAACACAAAATATTAAAACTTTACAACAGCTGTGTGATGTTGTGCAGGGAAGGAAGCAGCGTTAAGCTGTCATTTGTTTTGTAAGATCCAGGTATGCACAAGAGATATATCTACCAGTCTTGACAGCCTTGAGGGCATGGTAATCTGTCCAGTGTGTTGAGATCTGAAAAAGGAATTCTAACCAGCAATACCAGCAATGAAGAAAGACTTTGTGCTGCTGTCAGAGGAAGGTAATTATTAATAGGAGCCAGCCTCTATAATAACAATGCAGAGAGAGTGAAAGCACCTGGGTGCTTGCCCTGGGAAGATTAACTAGTGAACATTGTACTAACACATAGCTGTACACCTGAAATGTAGCTCTTGTACTCCAGTTCTTTCTTAGCCCTTTGTGCCTGTTGCCTCAGTCTCTTGTGTGGCAATACATAAGTGGTGGTACAGAGATACCACAGCTCTGCCTCCTGTTTATGGACACTTTTCTTGACTACATGCCTGGATAGGGAGGAAAAAAGCTAATGCTGTTTGTGCTGGACTTGCAATAAGTCCTGCCAGTGACAAAAGGATAAGAGAATAAAGGCTAGTGGAGAAAAGGGTACGTCCATCCCTGTGGTCAAAAGCACTTGCAGCTATGTGTGTTGTGGCTTGGTGCAGTTTTATAAGGGAAGTTTCCTGTGTTGAAGTTGGTTCTTTTAAATTCTCTAGGTTTTCCCATTTCTTCTGTCTATTGAGGTCCCGTTCAGAGTGTGTTAAAGCCAGTGGCAGTAAGTGGGTTTTGACTCGGGCCCTGTAGGCAAGCTGAGTTTCTTACCTTCTCCGTGTTCTCTGATGGCACAGTGGCTGTGTCAGCTCCTGCCTGTGCTGCGTTCCCGAGGGCTGGCAGAGTGCTGGCTCAGCACCTCAGCCCAGCCTCCCCCTGTGCCTTCTGCTGCACCCCTCAGAGCCAGAGGGGAGCTTGGCTACAGGTGCAGGGGCGCTGTGACCGCTGAGTACGTGTCCTGAGGCTTACAGCACTTCATCTCTGTGGGGCTGCTGGAGGCTGATTTGCTGAGAATACCCTGAGTCACAAGTGGGGGAGCATAAGGGAACTCAGTAAACAAGTTTCTCAACTGGATTAAAAAAAAGAAAAAAAAGGGAGTTCCAGTGTAAGTATTTTACGAAATCATGAACTCTGAAGGTTTTCATTTCCTTTCAAAAAAGCAGTTTTTGTCTTCCAATTCATGAAGTTGCTGTAGATCCCTAAATATCATGAAAGACAATTAGCAGTTTTTATACTTAGATATTACATATAATAGCACAGTAACATTAAGTGGAAAGAACAAAACCTGTTATTTCAGTTTCTGCTACTTAAATTCTTCCATTTCTTGCTAGCGTTGAAATAGGGCTGCACAGTTCTTCTTTTGTGGTTTTTTTTTTTTCTTTCTGTTTTATTTGTTTATTTGTTGTCTCTTGGTGCTGGGGAGATTATATCCTAACCAAGCTAAAAAGAAAAAGCTATTGCTGTGTTAAGAAAAATGAAAATATTTTTCCCCAGAAACTTTACATTTAGGTAAAGACTTGCCTGTGCTTTTGCATAACTGACGTTTTAAGCATGTTTTTTTAACAAGCAATGAAAAGTCTGTGGACTTCACCATGCAAAGACTTGTGTCCATGACTAATTTTCCACCTATGTATGGTTTCATGAGTCCACATGCATGCATGAGGCTCTCTGGGGTCACGCTAGTGCTGCTTGATCTTGGAATCTATCTGCTTTTATTCTTGGCTGTGATGATGAGCTGCTGTGGGTCCACACAAGACTGAGATATGAAGAAAGGTGTTTGTGAAATGCAGTTCTCTAGCAGTTACCAGCATTATGTTTTGTGAAAGCAGTTGTAATTAGCGTTTCAAGGCTGTCCTGTGCTTCTAACCTTGAGAACACTTTGAGCTACATTTTTTGACTTGCTTGTGTTGGGGATGGGTTTGGCTCAAGACCTTTTGGTTGGAGCAAATTGAGTACAATTTTCTTTTAACCATATAACAAAGAATAGGTACCAATTGCTTGCCAAACAGTTTCTCCCCTCAGAGATTACAAACAAATTTAGGAAAGAACAAAGCCAGGATTTCTAGTGTTTAACTTCTTGAGAATCATCTTGGCTTTGGCATGTGAAAAAGAAAAGTGCGTCACAAGTCAAGTTGGCACCTAATGCCGTCAGTAATACTAATTTCAACATCATTAATTTTAACTGACACTGCTTCAATCTTTCTCTTACCACAAGTTTATTTAATTAAAAGAATTGAAACTCTTTTCATTTGTTTTTCTATTCTCTTTGGCGGTAGCAAGAACAGGTTCTTGTCCCCCTTCAGGAAATGGATAGGAAGAGAAGTTAAAAGACATTATGGTAGCAGCTGCCAGAATATTGAAGGAGATATCCTTGGAAGGAGAAAGTTTGTTTTCTAGAAATCAAGCCAGCAAAATGCCACTTTTGCCCAACACTTGGAGGCAGGCTGTAGTATGGGAAGTGAGTATGGCTGCGCCAAGGACTCGTTTGTTCTAACTTGTTTAAAAGAAATACCTTAGTTTTCTTCTTCTCCCTCTTCAAGTATAAATCAGGATACAAAACCATATTGTTCATGTAGCCTCAAAACTAATTTTCCTTCTTTCCACTTGAGCTCTTTCCTCAGAAGTGATTTGTTCCGAGACCGAAGTAAGTGCGACATTGAAGACTTGAGAAGCAATCATGGTGTAAAATACAGCCACCCTTAGGGAGGAGGAAAGATGGTTGTTGCTCAGATATTTTTTCTTTTTGGAGGCCCTTTTTTGTTAAAGGTAACTCTGATTAAGAAGTAGAAAGAAATAACAAGGCTGAAAGCGTGTGGCATCCAGCAGTGAGTGAGGATAGCATTTGTGTTTATTCATCACAGTCTTGCTTTTTGTATTGTGTGATCAGTAAGAGAAGAAATAGTCTGATTCTTGTGATTTGCCTTACTCTTTGTTAGTGTTTTAAAAAAAATCCAAAACTCCTCTGTATATGGTCTTCTTGTCAAAAGTTAGGCATCTCAGGTGTTCTCAGACCTAAGGAATGGCCACTACACATAATTAAAGGCTGTTGTTATCTTTTCCTATCAGATATCTCTTCAAACTGTTTGCTGTGCTTATAAATTTTGGAAAAAGATGTACAGTTCTCAAACTGGAGTTTCAAAAGCTCTCTATTCATTTGATCAGGATTTTTCTGAGTTTTATCTCCTGATGATTTCCCCTGCATGGTTAGACCATGGATAAGGCAGACTAAAGTGTCTGTTGCTCTTTTAGATGT